CGCTATTAATATCAGTGGCGTAAGACTTTTCACCACTATACATAAGGGGCATAATTAGCCGACCCTTCAAGATGTTATCAAGAGAACTTGATAAACACCTATAGAAAATACTTGATCCACCAGGCTGTGATTCACGGGTCAGGCTGCGAGCAGCCACGTCGAACAGTTTGGTTGACCAGACCACCTCTAACCAGGAGGTCTGGTTAGAGACCAGCCGCCGGCACGTTGACCCCTGGAAACAACGCAAGGTAACTGCAAGGCGACCTTGGTCACCTTCACTCTAGAAGGGGGTCACTCTCACTCTAGGGGGGTCACCCCTCACTCTACGGGGGTCACCCTCACTCTAGGGGGGTCACCCTCACTCTAGGGGGGTCACCCTCACTCTAGGGGAGTCACCCTCACTCTAGGGGGGTTACCCTCACTCTAGGGGCTCACCCTCACTCTAGGGGGCTCACCCTCACTCTAGGGGGGTCACCCTCACTCTAGGGGAGTCACCCTCACTCTAGGGGGGTTACCCTCACTCTAGGGGCTCACCCTCACTCTACGGGGGTCACCCTCACTCTAGGGGAGTCACCCTCACTCTACGGGGGTCACCCTCACTCTAGGGGGGTCACCCCTCACTCTAGGGGGGTCACCCTCACTCTACGGGGGTCACCCTCACTCTAGGGGGGGTCACCCTCACTCTAGGGGAGTCACCCTCGCTCTAGGGGGGTCACCCTCACTCTAGGGGGGTCACCCTCACTCTAGGGGAGTCACCCTCACTCTAGGGGGGTCACCCTCACTCTACGGGGGTCACCCTCACTCTAGGGGGGTCACCCTCACTCTAGGGGAGTCACCCTCGCTCTAGGGGGGTCACCCTCACTCTAGGGGGGGTCACCCTCACTCTAGGGGAGTCACCCTCGCTCTAGGGGGGGTCACCCTCACTCTAGGGGGGTCACCCTCACTCTAGGGGAGTCACCCTCGCTCTAGGGGGGGTCACCCTCACTCTAGGGGGGCTCACCCTAGAGTGAGAGCTGAACACCTGTGTGTGTGGTCACTGACAGGTGATTACAGCGCTCAGGTGAGTGTGTCATTTATGGTGATTGATGAGCTGTGGTGTGGGGGGGGGGACAGTATGCTTCTGATAGCACGTCGTATTTTGACGTATACTCTACCTAAGGCAAAAGAAAATAAAATACAAAATCTTCGTACTAGAAAATGATAGCGGCTCGCGAAATTGACATACTGTCCCGTTTTCTGTTTTGGGTCCTCTGGTAGGTTAGGATAAGGGCACCTTAGTACGACAGTTTCTTGACGTAGGGAAACCTTAGGAGGATGGGTTGTAGTATGAGGGGGGTGGGTGGGTTGTAGTATGAGGGGGGTGGGTGGGTTGTAGTATGAGGGGGGGTGGGTGGGTTGTAGTATGAGGGGGGTGGGTGGGTTGTAGTATGAGGGGGGGGGTTGTAGTATGAGGGGGGTGGGTGGGTTGTAGTATGAGGGGGGTGGGTGGGTTGTAGTATGAGGGGGGTGGGTGGGTTGTAGTATGAAGGGGGGGTGGGTTGTAGTATGAGGGGGGTGGGTGGGTTGTAGTATGAGGGGGGTGGGTGGGTTGTAGTATGAGGGGGTGGGTGTTTGTAGTATGAGGGGGGGGGTTGTCAAGGTCATTCTGTAATCCTCATCATTTTTGTTTTTTCCTCATTAGCTTCCCAACCTTTAACTGGGATCCTTCTGTCTGTCTGTGACTGTTTCCTGTCCTATAGGTACTCCTTTACCCAGTTCAGCGTTTTATTCCAGTTATCTCAGCCAATACTTTCCATCTTGTAACCCAGTCTGTCGTGTGGAACAGTGTCGGGTGTCGTTTTGACAGTTTAGGGGAGGAAAAGACAGTCTACCCAGCCTGCTTTGTCCTGTCGTAACCAGGGGCCAGATTCACGAAGCAGTTAAGCATGTACTTATGAACCTGTACATCTTTTCTTAGTCTTTTGTGGCTTTGTTTACAATTATTAAACAGTTAATGAGCTCCGAAGCACCAGGAGGCTGTTTATAACGATAACAACAGTTGATTGGGAAGTTTCCATGCTTGTAAACTGTTTAATAAATATAACCAAAGCCGTCAAAGATTGAAGAAAGATGTACACGTTCGTAAGAACTTGCGCAACTGCTTCGTGAATCTGGCCCCTGGTCGTAGAAGTCAATGTAGTTTGTCAGGCTTGACTTTAAATGTCTAAATCCATGTTGACGTTGTGTGATATAGACCAGACCACACACTAGAAGGTGAAGGGACGACGACGTTTCGGTCCGTCCTGGACCATTCTCAAGTCGATTGTGTACATACTGAGTACATACTTTCTCCAGCACTTGGCGCAGAATACTTGTCAATGACAACCTCTGTAATTGTTTAAAAAATTGTAATTAAAAATTCATTGTAATTAAAGTTGTAATTAAAATTTACACCGATTTGTAATTTACCGCCTCCTTTCTATCCTTTTTTTTAATACTACTGGGACAACGTTTGCATTTTTGTAAAGATTTCTGAGAGGTTTCGTATTTTAAGCACTACATTGGAAATTTTAGGTAATGGGCGGTGAAGGGAGGAGTGATGTTCTTGATGGGAAGGGTGGTGGTGGTGGTGTGGTGAGAGGCAAGGGTGGTGGTAGTAGTGGTGGTGGTGGTGGTGGTGTGGTGAGAGGCAAGGGTGGTGGTGATGGTGGTGGTGGTGTGGTGAGAGGCAAGGGTGGTGGTAGTAGTGGTGGTGGTGGTGGTGTGGTGAGAGGCAAGGGTGGTGGTGTAGTGGTGGTGGTGGTGGTGTGTGAGAGGCAAGGGTGGTGGTAGTAGTGGTGGTGGTGGTGGTGTGGTGAGAGGCAAGGGTGGTGGTAGAGTGGTGGTGGTGGTGGTGTGGTGAGAGGCAAGGGTGGTGGTGGTGGTGGTGGTGGGTGAGAGGCAAGGGTGGTGGTGGTGGTGGTGGTGTGGTGAGAGGCAAGGGTGGTGGTGATGGTGGTGGTGGTGTGGTGAGAGGCAAGGGTGGTGGTGATGGTGGTGGTGGTGTGGTGAGAGGCAAGGGTGGTGGTAGTATTGGTGGTGGTGTGGTGAGAGGCAAGGGTGGTGGTAGTAGTGGTGGTGTGGTGAGAGGCAAGGGTGGTGGTGGTGGTAGTGGTGGTGTGGTGAGGGGCAGGGTGGTGGTAGTAGTGGTGGTGGTGGTGGTGTGGTGAGAGGCAAGGGTGGTGGTGATGGTGGTGGTGGTGTGGTGAGAGGCAAGGGTGGTGGTAGTGGTGATGGTGGTGGTGGTGTGGTGAGGGGCAGGGTGGTGGTGATGGTGGTGGTGGTGTGGTGAGGGGCAGGGTGGTGGTGGTGTGGTGAGGGGCAGGGTGGTGGTGGTGGTGTGGTGAGGGGCAGGGTGGTGGTGATGGTGGTGGTGGTGTGGTGAGAGGCAAGGGTGGTGGTGGTGGTGGTGGTGTGTGAGGGGCAGGGTGTGGTGATGAGGCAAGGGTGGTGGTGATGGTGGGTGGTGGTGTGGTGAGAGGGCAGGGTGGTGGTGATGGTGGTGGTGGTGTGGTGAGGGGCAGGGTGGTGGTGATGGTGGTGGTGGTGTGGGGCAGGGTGAGAGGCAAGGGTGGTGGTGGTGGTGGTGGTGGTGTGGTGAGAGGCAAGGGTGGTGGTAGTAGTGGTGGTGGTGGTGGTGTGGTGAGAGGCAAGGGTGGTGGTGATGGTGGTGGTGGTGGTGTGGTGAGAGGCAAGGGTGGTGGTGATGGTGGTGGTGGTGTGGTGAGGGGCAGGGTGGTGGTGATGGTGGTGGTGGTGTGGTGAGGGGCAGGGTGGTGGTGGTGTGGTGAGAGGCAAGAGTGGTGGTGATGGTGGTGGTGGTGGTGGTGGTGGTAGTGGTGGTGATGGTGGTGGTGGTGTGGTGAGAGGCAAGGGTGGTGGTGATGGTGGTGTTGGTGGTGGTGGTGGTGGTGGTGGTGGTGGGGAGTAAAGGGTCTGGTCTCCGCTGCACATTATTGGTCCCAGTAATCTCTATGTCAATGTGGACTGTGGAGGCAGTCGTAACCCCAACCTCACCTCCCCCGGTGCTCCCCCCCCTCCCCCACCCATCCAGAGATGAGGAAGTGAGTGTGGGGGAGGAAAGGGGGGTGGGGGGGGGGAGCAAGAAGTGTCCCCGGAGAGAAATGTGTCACGAGGAATGAGTTGTAAACGACGAGGAAGGAAATGGCCCTCTAGCAGCCGTGCCACCAGTCACGGAGGAAGCAGTTCCCAACGTTTCCAGGTTGTTGGGCTGTTAAGGATTGACTGATGAAATTGAACTCCATGGGCAAGAACTGAGATGGTTATATATATCACATAGCTGCTAGGGTTGTCGACTCTATATATGCTATAACTGATATAACATTATATTGGGATCCAGGCCTTCATACCACGACTGGAACCTGGTTTTCTCCTAGACCACGAGGGAAGCCGGTCGGCCGAGCGGAAAGCACTCTGGACTTGTGATCCTGTGGTCCTGGGTTCGATTCCAGGCGCCGGCGAGAAACAATGGGCAGAGTTTCTGTCACCCTATGCCTCTGTTACCTAGCAGTAAAATAGGTACCTGGGTGTTAGTCAGCTGTCACGGGCTGCTTCCTGGGGGTGGAGGCCTGGTCGAGGACCGGGCCGCGGGGACACTAAAAAGCCCCGAAATCATCTCAAGAAGATAACGACCCGTCAAGCGTATTACCTCTAGGTTCCCCCTATTGCTGCTTGGCATCGAAGAGTGAAAGACTCATTCCTAGTCGTCCCACTCTGCTCTGGGTTCGAACCCCGGGTCATCCTCCCTTTGCAAGGTAGTGAAGTAGTTAGCCAGTTCACCATTTCTAAGGTGCTTGAAACCATGTAATTTTGAGGCTCATTTATGGGTTTACGAGGGCCGTGGGGCTGGGGTCAGGGAGGGAGAAGAAGTTGTTGACGGCGGGAGAAAGTTTATTTGGTAATTTCAGCAGCTGATCCAACACTGGCAGCCGGGCTGAGACCGGGCTTGTCGCGCGCCTCGCTCATGACCGCGAGACGTCCGACAAGAAGGCCGCGAGAGTCCCCAGGGGCCTCTCGCGGCCTCCCACATACCTGCTGGCGACGGCCCACGTCCGGCCTGCTGGTGGCGGCCCACGTCCAGCCTGCTGGCGACGGCCCACGTCCAGCCTGCTGGCGACGGCCCACGTCCAGCCTGCTGGCGACGGCCCACATCCAGCCTGCTGGCGACGGCCCACATCCAGCCTGCTGGCGACGGTCCACGTCCAGCCTGCTGGCGACGGCCCACGTCCAGCCTGCTGGCGACGGCCCACGTCCAGCCTGCTGGCGACGGTCCACGTCCAGCCTGCTGGCGACGGCCCACATCCGGCCTGCTGGCGACGGCCCACATCCGGCCTGCTGGCGACGGCCCACATCCGGCCTGCTGGCGACGGCCCACGTCCAGCCTGCTGGCGACGGCCCACGTCCAGCCTGCTGGCGACGGCCCACGTCCAGCCTGCTGGCGACGGCCCACATCCAGCCTGCTGGCGACGGTCCACGTCCAGCCTGCTGGCGACGGTCCACGTCCAGCCTGCTGGCGACGGTCCACGTCCAGCCTGCTGGCGACGGTCCACGTCCAGCCTGCTGGCGACGGCCCACGTCCGGCCTGCTGGCGACGGCCCACGTCCGGCCTGCTGGCGACGGCCCACGTCCGGCCTGCTGGCGACGGTCCACGTCCGGCCTGCTGGCGACGGTCCACGTCCGGCCTGCTGGCGACGGTCCACGTCCGGCCTGCTGGCGACGGTCCACGTCCGGCCTGCTGGCGACGGCCCACGTCCGGTCTGCTGGCGACGGCCCACGTCCGGTCTGCTGGCGACGGCCCACGTCCGGTCTGCTGGCGACGGTCCACGTCCGGCCTGCTGGCGACGGTCCACGTCCGGCCTGCTGGCGACGGTCCACGTCCGGCCTGCTGGCGACGGCCCACGTCCGGTCTGCTGGCGACGGCCCACGTCCGGTCTGCTGGCGACGGCCCACGTCCGGCCTATATCAACACACAATATACACAACATAAATGATAGTATAGATAAATCACGCGGAGCAGCGTACCTGGCCTCAGAGTCACTGACACTGAGGGAGGCTGACCACTCAGTGTACTCTATGCCAGAGTGTACACTGAGGGAGGCTGACCACTCAGTGTACTCTATGCCAGAGTGTACACTGAGGGAGGCTGAACATTCAGTGTACTCTATGCCAGAGTGTACACTGAGGGAGGCTGACCACTCAGTGTACTCTATGCCAGAGTGTACACTGAGGGAGGCTGACCACTCAGTGTACTCTATGCCAGAGTGTACACTGAGGGAGGCTGAACACTCAGTGTACTCTATGCCAGAGTGTACACTGAGGGAGGCTGAACATTCAGTGTACTCTATGCCAGAGTGTACACTGAGGGAGGCTGAACACTCAGTGTACTCTATGCCAGAGTGTACACTGAGGGAGGCTGACCACTCAGTGTACTCTATGCCAGAGTGTACACTGAGGGAGGCTGAACACTCAGTGTACTCTATGCCAGAGTGTACACTGAGGGAGGCTGACCACTCAGTGTACTCTATGCCAGAGTGTACACTGAGGGAGGCTGACCACTCAGTGTACTCTATGCCAGAGTGTACTTCAAATCAAGGAATGGGGCAAGTGACCTGTGACTATGGGGGAGTGAAGCTGCCACCAGACTTGTGTTTCACGTGTTGGGAGAAGCAGGAGTAGGAGCAGGAGAAGGAGTAGTAGGAGCAGGATGAGTAGGAGTAGGAGGAAGAGGAGGAAGGGCAAGCAAAAAAAAAAGAGATGTAGGTGGAAAGTCATGGTAGAAAAGAGAGAGAAAGAGAGAGAGAGAGGAGGGGACGCCCTCGCGTCAACACAAGACAAGTGTTGCTACACATTCAGACTTCTTGACAGTCACTAACTCTCTCACACACCTGTTTGATCTCTGGGAACACCTGCGTGGCTCTGGCTGCACTTTCAGTTCCCATATTATCCTGAGCATCTGTGCTCATTTGACAATATATCTGAATTTCGTTAGCAATTTTATTTTGTAATTGATAATAAACAGTGAAAAGGCCCTGATTAACTTGTATATTCAATTAGGCTGTATTTGGGAGTTGGATTAACTACATCTGCTAATTAGTCTATAAGAGTCGGCAGAAATTGATGAATAGCTCACTAATAGAAGTGTTTAGAACAAAAAGGAGGAGGTTGATGATAGGGCCAAGAAAATAGATGGGGAAGCTGCCCACCACGAGAGGCTGCCCACCTACCCTGCTCATCACAAGAGGCTGCCCACCTCCCCTACTCATCACAAGAGGCTGCCCACCTCCCCTGCCCACTACAAGAGGCTGCCCACCTCCCCTACTCATCACAAGAGGCTGCCCACCTCCCCTGCCCACTACAAGAGGCTGCCCATCTCCCCTGCATACTACAAGAGGCTGCCCATCTCCCCTGCCCACTACAAGAGGCTGCCCATCTCCCCTGCCCACTACAAGAGGCTGCCCACCTCCCCTACCCACTACAAGAGGCTGCCCACCTCCCCTGCCCACTACAAGAGGCTGCCCATCTCCCCTGCCCACTACAAGAGGCTGCCCATCTCCCCTGCCCACTACAAGAGGCTGCCCATCTCCCCTACCCACTACAAGAGGCTGCCCACCTCCCCTACCCACTACAAGAGGCTGCCCATCTCCCCTACCCACTACAAGAGGCTTCCCACCTCCCCTACCCACTACAAGAGGCTGCCCACCTCCCCTGCCCACTACAAGAGGCTGCCCATCTCCCCTGCCCACTACAAGAGGCTGCCCATCTCCCCTGCCCACTACAAGAGGCTGCCCATCTCCCCTGCCCACTACAAGAGGCTGCCCATCTCCCCTACCCACTACAAGAGGCTGCCCATCTCCCCTGCCCACTACAAGAGGCTGCCCATCTCCCCTGCCCACTACAAGAGGCTGCCCATCTCCCCTGCCCACTACAAGAGGCTGCCCATCTCCCCTACCCACTACAAGAGGCTGCCCACCTCCCCTACTCATCACAAGAGGCTGCCCACCTCCCCTGCCCACTACAAGAGGCTGCCCACCTCCCCTGCCCACTACAAGAGGCTGCCCATCTCCCCTGCCCACTACAAGAGGCTGCCCACCTTCCCTGCCCACTACAAGAGGCTGCCCACCTCCCCTGCCCACTACAAGAGGCTGCCCACCTCCCCTACCCACCACAAGAGGCTGCGCACCTCTCCTGCCCACTACAAGAGGCTGCCCATCTCCCCTACCCACTACAAGAGGCTGCCCACCTCCCCTGCCCACTACAAGAGGCTGCCCATCTCCCCTGCCCACTACAAGAGGCTGCCCACCTCCCCTACCCACTACAAGAGGCTGCCCACCTCCCCTGCCCACTACAAGAGGCTGCCCACCTCCCCTGCCCACCACAAGAGGCTGCGCACCTCTCCTGCCCACTACAAGAGGCTGCCCATCTCCCCTACCCACTACAAGAGGCTGCCCACCTCCCCTACCCACTACAAGAGGCTGCCCACCTCCCCTGCCCACTACAAGAGGCTGCCCACCTCCCCTACCCACTACAAGAGGCTGCCCACCTCCCCTGCCCACTACAAGAGGCTGCCCACCTCCCCTACCCACTACAAGAGGCTGCCCACCTCCCCTACCCACTACAAGAGGCTGCCCACCTCCCCTACCCACTACAAGAGGCTGCCCACCTCCCCTGCCCACTACAAGAGGCTGCCCACCTCCCCTGCCCACTACAAGAGGCTGCCCACCGCCCCTACCCACTACAAGAGGCTGCCCACCTCCCCTGCCCACTACAAGAGGCTGCCCACCTCCCCTGCCCACTACAAGAGGCTGCCCACCTCCCCTGCCCACTACAAGAGGCTGCCCACCTCCCCTGCCCACTACAAGAGGCTGCCCACCTCCCCTGCACCACTACAAGAGGCTGCCCACCTCCCCTGCTCACTACAAGAGGCTGCCCACCGCCCCTACCCACTACAAGAGGCTGCCCACCTCCCCTGCCCACTACAAGAGACTGCCCACCTCCCCTGCCCACTACAAGAGGCTACCCACCTCCCCTACCCACTACAAGAGGCTGCCCACCTCCCCTACCCACTACAAGAGGCTGCCCACCTCCCCTGCCCACTACAAGAGGCTGCCCACCTCCTCTACCCACTACAAGAGGCTGCCCACCTCCCCTGCCCACTACAAGAGGCTGCCCACCTCCCCTACCCACTACAAGAGGCTGCCCACCTCCCCTACCCACTACAAGAGGCTGCCCACCTCCCCTGCCCACCACAAGAGGCTGCCCACCTCCCCTACCCACCACAAGAGGCTGCCCACCTCCCCTACCCACTACAAGAGGCTGCCCATCTCCCCTATACGTAAACAAGGGAGGCGCTGGTTCACATAAATTGAATTAACGCGCTAATTGAGAGGAGAGCGGGAGAGGCAATCTGCGTGGCTATGTGGAACAGCTCACTGTCTGGGAGGGGCGATGTTCTCGGAGTTTATTACCTGAATACAACAACAGCACGCAAGTTATAGCATCAATAGCCAGCCAATCAGCGCCAACCTGTGCTCCACTTGTCACCTACGGTGTTAGTTGTGTGTGTGTTACGGGTGTCGAGGGCGGCGGCGTTACTCTTTTGTTCGCTCCTGGCCGTGTGGGGGTGGTCAAGGGTGTGGGCTGGTGGGTGTATATTCACCTAGTGGTGCTTGCGGGGGGTTGAGCTCCGCTCTTCGGCCCGCCTCTCAACTCTCAATCAATCAACTGTTACTAACTACTAATCACCCCCCCCGCCCCACACACTCACACACAGGAAGCAGCCTGTAGCAGCTGTCTAACTCCCAGGTACCTATTTACTGCTAGTCCAGCAACCAGGAGGCCTGGTCGACGACCGGGCCGTGGGGACACTAAGCCCCGGAAGCACCTCAAGGTAACCTCAAGGTAGGTAACAGGGGGCATCAGAGTGTAAAGGAACTCTGCCTATTTGTCTCTGCCTAGTCCGGGAATCGAATCCGGGCCACAGGATTACGAGTCCCGCACGCTGTCTACTCACCTTCCAGACCCCTTTCTTTCCCCCTTCCCCTGTGTGTGTGTAGGGGTAACCCTGTCATGCAGCAGGGATCTAACCCTGCCCACATACGCACACAGAACCTTCAACCTCCAAGCACTGTACCGTCAAATTCCCCCCCCCCCCCTTAGTCCGCTTGACAAGAGGGTGGGGGTGGTGGGGGGGGGGAGGAAATCAAACGCTCTCATTGGTAACAAGTTTCAAAACACAGAGTGGAAATTACAGAGAAGGTTTAGTGGGGGGCGGAGCCGTGCACGCGCCTTCCTTGCAACCAGCATTACAGCACCTGGGAGACACACGCGAGGCCCTGTAGCGGGCGTTTACCCGCGCAGGCGGCGGTGATCACAGTGATTACCCGCGAGGAGGACTGGTGAGGTCAGATAGGCTGGGGGGGGGGGAGGGAGGGAGGGCTGAGACACGTGAGTCCCTGGGGGAGGGGGTAGCAGGTAGAGGCGCCATACACATCATTCTTTATCATCAAGATCATCAAGAGCTTTATGACCCGACAATTTGGATTCGAATCTGCATAGCTTGAGCTCAAGCTCTCTATGTATCCGTTCCTCCTAGTCTCTCCTTCGTATCCTCCTCGAGGATATCGAGGTGATATCCTCGTAGATATCACCTGTTGATATCTTGGTCGACACCAAGACGAACCCTCAGGGTATCGTTCTCATTACTCATTATACCGCCACTCGTTAATAATGTCTGGGAGTCAGCAGGTAAACAAACATCTCTGATGACATCGCCGCGAAGGTTTGACAACGAGGAGAATCTTCAACTGACGCGTGGGCGGGAAAAATTGGGAAGAACATCAGGTCGATGCGTTAATTAGGTGGAGATGGACCGTCGTGGGGTGTTGATGGGGACAGGTGTTGAGGTGGAGTGGGCGGGTGTTGATTGTTACAGGTGTTGCCGTCGTGGGGTGTTGATGGGTCCAGTTGTTACTGCAGCAGGTGGACCGGAGTGTAGGTCTGACAGGCACGACCACAGGTGGCAGGAGGAGGCGGGACAGGAGGGGTGCACCTCTCCTGTCCCTCTCCTTCCGGTGACATAAGCTGCTGGTGCTTCCGTCTTCACCTGCAATGTCCTGACTGTCTGTGTTAGCCTTTCCTAACCTCCCTTGTTGATGCTCCACACACCTCACACTCATGTTCCCTCACACTCAGGTGCCTCATACTCAGATCACTTCACACTCAGACCACCTCACATTGAGCCCACCTCACACTCTGGCTACTTCACACTTAGGTTCCTGGAAACACAAACCGAAACTGTCTCTATTTTCCGCTTGTTACAATTTGTAATAAAGTTGTTACATCTTGGCTTAACGTGTTTATGACGTATTAGAACGTTGTTACAACTTGCTATATTGGTTGTTATAACTGGTTAGGAAGTGTCAAAACTTGTTCGAACGTTGTACCAACGTCGGAGTTTCGGTGTGTGTTTGGCGGGGTCGCCTTTCTCAGGCTGTCTCACATACACATGACCTCCCCGTATACTTCCCAACACAAACCAATCGCCATAACCATAGAGACAGCAGAGAGCAAGGTTGTAAGTAAGAAATTAAGAAAGAAGTGTGCCTTAAAGACACGAGTATCATTGTAGATGGGTTTACAAAAAAAAAAAAGGCTGCTAAACTCGTGCAATAAAGGAAGTACCCAGATGTAATTGTACTCACAGAAACGAAACTGTCAGAAGACCTAGTATATACAATTTTCAAAAACTATTATGTTGCTAGTAAATAAACTGAAGGAAGATGGGAAGAGGTAGTGGTTCTATTGATGAGGAAAAAATGGACGTTCTTGGAACTGTCAATCCTCAAATGCACCTCACCACTCCCACCATCACCCACCCTTCCACCACAACAGGACCTAGACAAACTCCAGGATCTGTCAAACAAATCATTGCTGGGATTCAGTTCCAACAAATGTAAGGTAATGCAGATAGGGAGAGAGGAGACCAGAAGGCATCTACACCATAAGGAAAGGTAATTACAGGAATCTTGAGAAAGATTTGAGAGTGGACATAGTTCGAACCTTAACACAAGATGCTCACAAACAAGACTGGTGTTGGAGCCAAGAGGGCTAAGCTACGAACACAGTGGTTATCTTGAGGTTATCTTGAGATGATTTCGGGGCTTTAGTGTCCCCGCGGCCCGGTCCTCGACCAGGCCTCCATCCCCAGGAAGCAGCCCGTGACAGCTGACTAACACCCAGGTACCTATTTTACTGCTAGGTAAACAGTAATGGAATGAAATCTCACAACCTCTAGAGGAAAGAAGTAACAGAGAGGGGATATGATCACAACGTACAAGATAATGAGGGGGAATAGATAAGGTGGACAAGAATAGCTTCTGCAGATTGTGAGAAGAATAAGACAAGAGGACACAGGTGGAAGCTGGAAATGTAAATGAGCCGAAGGAACGTCAAGAAATACTCCTACCCTGTACAGGGTATAGTTAAGTGAAACGTACTGAAAGTAGAGGTTGTGGAAGCCACCTCCATCCACAACTTTAAAACCAGGTTCGAACAGAATTTCGAACATCTGAAGAGTTAAAATATAACCCAACAGGTTCAACGAGGCCAGGAGGCGGGGCATACGGAGCTAGACCTTACTCTCCCGAAGTCACTTTAGGCAAAGACTATTAGGTAAGTGTGATATGGGTATTGGAGAGGGGGGGGGGGTGCTGGGGTGGGGGTGCTTGGAGGGGGGTTCTAGGATGGGGGGGGGGAGGGGGGCTGCGTCACTACCCGTCTACTATGAACGAAGACAGTCACTGCTACACGGTCATTGATTATCGATTGGTGCGGTGGGTCGGCGCTCTCTCTCTCTCTTTCCCACCTCGCTGCACGCCCACCCTGTACGCCCACCCCGTACGCCCACCCCGTACGCCCACCCTGCACGCCCACCCTGCACGCCCACCCTACACGCCCACCCTGCACACTCACTCACACGCCCTCCCGGCACACGCGAACGCTGTTTACTAACCTCACACGCTAAATTAACAAATTAACACAAACCTCACCCCCCCCACCTCTCAACACACTTCCCCCCCCCTCACAACCCCCCCCCCACCTCACCTCCCCCCCCCCCCGGCCACCTCACCCCACCCCCCCTCCCCCTCCCCAAATTTTCAGAACCACCTCACACAAGCACCCTGCAAACAATCTTACAGAAGCTTTCAGAAAATTCAAGCATAGTTTTCTACCAAACATATTCGTCACACTGAAGCAAGATAGCAAATATGTATAAGTTTACCAATGAAGCCGCAAGATATCAACATAGCTAAACAGGAGCATAGCAGCAACATACAAACACAGCAGCAAGATACCAACATGGTGGTAACATATACCAACATAGCCGTAAGATACCAAGATAGCAGCAGCAAGACTTTCACCGGAGCAATCAAATCGGTTGTGGATTGTCTTGAGTGCAGTCCAGCGAGACAATTTCAATAAGTCTTGAGGAGATCAACGTCTGAGATACGTTCAGCATTGTGGCCGTTCCCCGCGTCTCGTTAGAACCGAAATATCAACATTACGACGAAATTGTGGTTGTTGTGGTTGTTGGGGTCGTGGTTGGGTCGTGGTTGTAAACAAAGTGATGGATCAGACTCGATGCTTCACTTGCAGACCCCGGGACACTTGCAGCCCCCGGGACTGTTGCAGCCCCCGGGACACTTGCAGCCCCCGGGACTGTTGCAGCCCCCGGGACACTTGCAGACCCCGGGACTGTTGCAGCCCCCGGGACACTTGCAGACCCCGGGACTGTTGCAGCCCCCGGGACACTTGCAGCCCCCGGGACACTTGCAGCCCCCGGGACTGTTGCAGCCCCCGGGACTGTTGCAGCCCCCGGGACACTTGCAGCCCCGGGACTGTTGCAGCCCCCGGGACACTTGCAGCCCCCGGAACTGTTGCAGCCCCCGGGACACTTGCAGACCCCCGGACTGTTGCAGCCCCCGGGACTGTTGCAGCCCCCGGGACTGTTGCAGCCCCCGGGACACTTGCAGCCCCCGGGACTGTTGCAGCCCCCGGGACACTTGCAGCCCCCGGGACTGTTGCAGCCCCCGGGACACTTGCAGCCCCCGGGACTGTTGCAGCCCCCGGGACACTTGCAGCCCCGGGACTGTTGCAGCCCCCGGGACACTTGCAGCCCCCGGGACTGTTGCAGCCCCCGGGACACTTGCAGCCCCCGGGACTGTTGCAGCCCCCGGGACACTTGCAGCCCCCGGGACACTTGCAGCCCCCGGGACTGTTGCAGCCCCCGGGACACTTGCAGCCCCCGGGACTGTTGCAGCCCCCGGGACTGTTGCAGCCCCCGGGACACTTGCAGCCCCCGGGACTGTTGCAGCCCCCGGGACACTTGCAGCCCCCGGGACTGTTGCAGCCCCCGGGACACTTGAAGCCCCCGGGACTGTTGCAGCCCCCGGGACACTTGCAGCCCACGGGACTGTTGCAGGCCCCGGGACACTTGCAGCCCCCGGGACTGTTGCAGACCCCGGGACTGTTGCAGCCCCCGGGACACTTGCAGCCCCCGGGACACTTGCAGCCCCCGGACTGTTGCAGCCCCCGGGACACTTGCAGCCCACGGGACTGTTGCAGGCCCCGGGACACTTGCAGCCCCCGGGACTGTTGCAGCCCCCGGGACACTTGCAGCCCCCGGGACTGTTGCAGCCCCCGGGACACTTGCAGCCCCCGGGACTGTTGCAGACCCCGGGACTGTTGCAGCCCCCGGGACTGTTGCAGCCCCCGGGACACTTGCAGCTCCCGGGACTGTTGCAGCCCCCGGGACTGTTGCAGCCCCCGGGACTGTTGCAGCCCCCGGGACACTTGCAGCCCCCGGGACACTTGCAGCCCCCGGGACACTTGCAGACCCCGGGACTGTTGCACCGCAGGACAGGATTCTACCAACATTATACAGTTAGTTTTTGTTCCTTTGACAACTTTGGACAAATAGAACATCTGGATAAATCGTCTTGTAATTAAAGCCAGACTCAAGCGTACTAGTTACAGGAACAGAAGCCCCCAGACCAGAAAATAATCAACACGGACCAGGAGATGATCAAAAACAAATGTGATCCTGTGGTCCCGGGTTCGATCCCGGGCGCCGGCGAGAAACAATGGGCAGTTTCTTTCACCCTATGCCCCTGTTACCTAGCAGTAAAATAGGTACCTGGGTGTTAGTCAGCTGTCACGGGCTGCTTCCTGGGGGTGGAGGCCTGGTCGAGGACCGGGCCGCGGGGACACTAAAAAAAAAAAGCCCCGAAATCATCTCAAGATAACCTCAAGATATGTCTATGTACGCACATTAGGTTATCAAATTAGTATTGTTATCTATGGTTGTTATCTACTTAAGAGTGCCTTTATACTCAGACCCTTTGGCGCGTAGCACCACCTTGAGGTTATCTTGAGATGATTTCGGGGCTTTAGTGTCCCCGCGGCCCGGTCTTCGACCAGGCCTCCACCCCCAGGAAGCAGCCCGTGACAGCTGACTAACACCCAGGTACCTATTTCACTGCTAAATAACAGGGGCATAGGGTGAAAGAAACTCTGCCCATTGTTTCTCGCCGGCGCCTGGGATCGAACCCAGGACCACAGGATCACAAGTCCAGCGTGCTGTCCGCTCGGCCGACCGGCTCACCACCTAGCGGAACCTTTGCTAGGCAAGGTACACCTTCAGGATTAAGGAGGACCTACGATTAGTCTTCATCTTCAAGAGAAAACGAGATAATTTTCTCCAAGGAGCGCCGGACCAACCGGGCTGTGGTGGATATGTGGGCCTGCGGGCCGCTCCAAGCAACAGCCTGGTGGACCAAGCTCACCCAAGTCAAGCCTGGCCTCGGGTCGGGCTTGGGGAGTAGAACTACTCCCAGAACCCCGTCAAGTTGGTATCAAACAGGTATTAGTTATGTATAGCGTATATGTGTAGCGTATATGTGCTTGGTTCTTTATTTAGGGAGTTACTGTGTTCCATATAGCTGTGTAGTGCTGAATCTTGTGTATTTTATGCATATATTTAGTCCGTTGGTGAATATACACTTAAGATATAAGCCCCCTTGGTGTATGTATGAAGGTAGATGTATATATTGTGCTGCACAAATGAAATCATTGTATTTGTATGTATGAAGGTAGATGTATATATTGTGCTGCACAAATGATATTGTATTTGGGGTTGCATATGTTGCAGCATGTATGACTTTGCTTGACAACATTTGCACCCAACCACTTGGGCTGGACGGTAGAGCGACGGTTTCGCTTCATGCAGGTCGGCGTTCTATCCCCCGACCGTCCACAAGTGGTTGAGCACCATTCCTTCCCCCCGTCCCATCCCAAATCCTTATCATGACCCCCTTCTCAGTGCTATATAGTCGTAATGGCTTGGCGCTTTCTCCTATAGTTCCCCCTTCCCTTGACAACATTTGCATGTCTTAAGAAGAGGAGCAACGTGATGCATTATTTCGCTATTCCTCTGGTATTGCGCACGCAATTGCGCACTGTGCAGGAGATGTATCATGGCTAATGTTGCATGAGCACCGAAGTTATGTATTGAGCAATGCGAGTAGTTGAATGTATACTTTGTTTATAATAATAATTATTCACGTAGAGTATGTATGACACTCCCTCACATACACCTGTATGACACTCCCTCACATACACCTGTATGACACTCCCTCACATACACCTGTATGACACTCCCTCACATACACCTGTATGACACTCCCCTCACATACACCTGTATGACACTCCCTCACATACACCTGTATGACACTCCCTCACATACACCTGTATGACACTCCCTCACATACACCTGTATGACACTCCCTCACATACACCTGTATGACACTCCCTCACATACACCTGTATGACACTCCCTCACATACACCTGTATGACACTCCCTCACATACACCTGTATGACACTCCCTCACATACACCTGTATGACACTCCCTCACATACACCTGTATGACACTCCCTCACATACCCCTGTATGACACTCCCTCCACATACACCTGTATGACACATACACCTGTATGACACTCCCTCACATACACCTGTATGACACTCCCTCACATACACCTGTATGACACTCCCTCACATACACCTGTATATTCGTATGGCAGTGAGTGTATAATTCTGTAAGGAAATAAGACTTATGCAGATGTATACAGAAGAAGAATTAGTTATTATAACAAACACAAATTTTGGAGATAATGTATATTCGTATTAAGACTTTTTTTGGCAAAATATTACAAAAGGTCGGTCGGCCGAGCGGACAGCACGCTGGGCTTGTGATCCTGTGGTCCTGGGTTCGATCCCAGGCGCCGGCGAGAAACAATGGGCAGAGTTTCTTTCACCCTATGCCCCTGTTACCTAGCAGTAAAATAGGTACCTGGGTGTCAGTCAGCTGTCACGGGCTGCTTCCTTGGGGGTGGAGGCCTGGTCGAGGACCGGGCCGCGGGGACACTAAAAAGCCCCGAAATCATCTCACGATAACCTCAAGATAAGAAGACATCAAAAGACTTATCGTGTGGATGCAAAAGTGTCGTACTGAGCTCTATTCAACCGTTTCTCTAGAGTCTAGAGGAGATAATATCATTAACTGTATTAACCAGAAACCATAGGCGCTCGTTGGGTTGTCTGGAGTATGACTCTTTGGTTCCTACCCGTTAGGTACTCTCTCTCTCTCTCTCTCTCTCTCTCTCTCTCTCTCTCTCTCTCTCTCTCTCTCTCTCTCTCTCTCTCTCTCTCTCTCTCTCTCTCTCTCTCTCTCTCTCTCTCTCTCCAAGGATGGGGGGTAGAAGTAGGAACTCCCCCTCTACTACCAGTGGTGGGGGTTGTGGCCACAGTGGGTCGAGGGAGGGGGGGTTGTGGTCACAGTGGGTGGAGTGGTGGGGGTTGTGGTCACAGTGGGTGGAGTGGGGGGGGGTTGTGGCCACAGTGGGTGGAGTGGTGGGGGGTTGTGGTCACAGTGGGTGGAGTGGGGGGGGGGGGGTTGTGGCCACAGTGGGTGGAGTGGTGGGGTTGTGGTCACAGTGGGTGGGGGGGGGTTGTGGCCACAGTGGGTGGAGTGGGGGGGTTGTGGCCACAGTGGGTGGAGTGGGGGGAGTTGTGGTCACAGTGGGTGGAGTGGGGGGGGTTGTGGCCACAGTGGGAGGAGTGGTGGGGGTTGTGGTCACAGTGGGTGGAGTGGGGGGGGGGTTGTGGCCAAAGTGGGTGGAGTGGTGGGGGTTGTGGTCACAGTGGGTGGAGTGGGGGGGGGGTTGTGGCCACAGTGGGTGGAGTGGTGGGGGTTGTGGTCACAGTGGGTGGAGTGGGGGGGGTTGTGGCCACAGTGGGTGGAGTGAGGGGGGGGGTTGTGGCCACAGTGGGTGGTGGGGTTTGTGGTCACAGTGGGTGGAGTGGGGGGGGGGGTTGTGGCCACAGTGGGTGGAGTGGTGGGGGTTGTGGTCACAGTGAGTGGAGTGGGGGGGGGGGGTTGTGGCCACAGTGGGTGGAGTGAGGGGGGGGGGTTGTGGCCACAGTGGGTGGAGTGGGGGGGGGTTGTGGCCACAGTGGGTGGAGTGGGGGGAGTTGTGGTCACAGTGGGTGGAGTGGGGGGGGGGTTGTGGCCACAGTGGGAGGAGTGGTGGGGGTTGTGGTCACAGTGGGTGAGTGGGGGGGGGTTGTGGCCACAGTGGGTGGAGTGGTGGGGGTTGTGGTCACAGTGGGTGGGGTGGGGGGGGTTGTGGCCACAGTGGGTGGAGTGGTGGGGGTTGTGGTCACAGTGGGTGGAGTGAGGGGGGGGGTTGTGGCCACAGTGGGTGGAGTGGTGGGGGTTGTGGTCACAGTGGGTGGAGTGGGGGGGGGTTGTGGCCACAGTGGGTGGAGTGGGGGGGGTTGTGGTCACAGTGGGTGGAGTAGGGGGTTGTGGTCACAGTGGGTGGAGTGGGGGGGGGGGGGGGGGTTGTGGCCACAGTGGGTGGAGTGGGGGGTTGGGGGTTGTGGCCACAGTGGAAGAAGTGGTGGGGGTTGTGGCCACAGTGGAAGAAGTGGTGGGGGTTGTGGCCACAGTGGGTGGAGTGGGGGGGGGTTGTGGCCTCAGTGGGTGGAGTGGTGGGGGTTGTGGCCACAGTGGGAGGAGTGGGGGGGGGGTTGTGGCCTCAGTGGGTGGAGTGGTGGGGGTTGTGGCCACAGTGGGAGGAGTGGGGGGGGGTTGTGGCCTCAGTGGAAGAAGTGGTGGGGGTTGTGGCCACAGTGGGTGGAGTGGGGGGGTTGTGGTCACAGTGGGTGGAGTGGTGGGGGTTGTGGCCACAGTGGGTGGAGTGGTGGGGGTTGTGGTCACAGTGGGTGGAGTGAGGGGGGGGGTTGTGGCCACAGTGGGTGGAGTGGTGGGGGTTGTGGTCACAGTGGGTGGAGTGGGGGGGGGGTTGTGGCCACAGTGGGTGGAGTGGGGGGGGTTGTGGTCACAGTGGGTGGAGTGGGGGGGTTGTGGTCACAGTGGGTGGAGTGGGGGGGGGGGTTGTGGCCACAGTGGGTGGAGTGGGGGGTTGGGGGTTGTGGCCACAGTGGAAGAAGTGGTGGGGGTTGTGGCCACAGTGGAAGAAGTGGTGGGGGTTGTGGCCACAGTGGGTGGAGTGGGGGGGGGTGTGGCCTCAGTGGGTGGAGTGGTGGGGGTTGTGGCCACAGTGGGAGGAGTGGGGGGGGTTGTGGCCTCAGTGGGTGGAGTGGTGGGGGTTGTGGCCACAGTGGGAGGAGTGGGGGGGGGTTGTGGCCTCAGTGGAAGAAGTGGTGGGGGTTGTGGCCACAGTGGGTGGAGTGGGGGGGGTGTGGTCACAGTGGGTGGAGTGGTGGGGGTTGTGGCCACAGTGGGTGGAGTGGTGGGGGTTGTGGTCACAGTGGGTGGAGTGGGGGGGGTTGTGGCCTCAGTGGAAGAAGTGGTGGGGGTTGTGGCCACAGTGGGTG